AGCTCTAATCTGCGCCTCCATGGAGAGGGAGGTGTCGAAGATTGCACCCAAACTCTTAACGGACGGTACTGGCACTAATTGCACCCCCGCAAGAGATGGGAGTTGCCCCCTCAATCCCATATCATCCCGTCCCAGCCAGAGGACCTCTGTCTTCAAAGGATTTAACTTCAACCGGCTCTCACATAACCATCCAGCCACAGCTTCCAAACATCTGATCAGTGTTCTGGGGCCGAGTCAGGATGGCCATCCATCAACAGATAGAGTTGGGTGTCATCGGCATACTGATGGTAACCCAGCCCAAAACTCCGAACAAGCTGGGCGAGGGGGCGCATAAAGATGTTGAAAAGCATCAGGGAGAGTATCGCACCCTGAGGCACTCCACACACCAAGGAGTGGCGCGATGACAATTCCCCCCCAAGCGCCACCCTCTGTCCCCAACCAGAGAGAAACAAGCGCAGCCATTGAAGGACTGTGCCCTGGATCCCCACGTCGGCAAGGCGGCAAAGCTTCGGGGGGGGGTTGTTAAATTTTCTAATTTATTGCACATTTCTGTGACCATTTTAGTATTTTTTCCCAATTCCACTACCATCATTTCAGACTGATTTTGCATTTCTTTCAACATGTCTTTTTAAAATTCTGCCAGAAAATCTGCCATTTCTGGAGAGACAGGTCTGACTGGTGTCTCCTGCATAGATCCCCTTCTGCCTGCAGCAGCCTGTTTTCTGATGTTGTCTTTCTAAGTTAGTTTACACTGTTTCTATACTAGCCAGTCTTCTGGTTTATTCTCAAAACAATAATTCTTTCAGCTCAGTCTTATCACTCCTTCAAGGCCACAAGTCACCCCTTGGTTGTTCTCACCACCCAGCCTTAGTTGGGAGCAAGCAAAATAGAAAGCAAAATATCAGACAAAGGGATAGGAGCAATTCGGAAATGGAAATACCCTAAATTAACAAAGACAGTTCCACAAAATAATGACAGAAAATAAAGCTAATAAAGTGGGGAAAGTTAACAAAATGATACTGTTTACAATGTCTAGATGGTATGCAGTAGTTGTTAATGAGTTCTCTCAACATCAATCCAGAACCGTCGGTTGAAGGAAAAGGCCGCAAGGACAAAGAGAAACTTTCCCCAAGTCCAATTAAATGTAGTCTACTTTCTTTTTGTGATCAGTTATTATTTCCTTCCAAAGTTCCAAATACTCTGGTCTTCACCAATCACGTTATTTGGCCTGATTAGTTGCCCAACCTCCAGCTATTTCCAGGCTTTTCCATGGACTTTTTTGTCCAAAGTTAGATGAGTGTTCCCCTCCGTAGGTTTGGGTTTGATTGTGAAGTTCCAGGTAGTTCCAAATAATTCCAAATAGTTCAGTAAGGTATTTTCCAAATCAGAAACTGTGCAAGTTTAAGTTAAAGATCAAAATTATATCCAATATTCTATATCACGGTTCAAGTTCAGTGTTCAAGTTCAAGTTGAAGATCAAAGAGTATATCCAGTATTCCAATAAGATAGATATGCTAATGAAGCTCAAAAAAAGGATTTCTTACCAGAGCGATTGAAGTGGCTTGTCAATCTTCCACTTACAAATCTTTCCCCAGCAGTTGGAAAGTAGCCAGAAAATGGAAGTTGACTTCCTTTCTAGTTTCCGTTTTCACTGAATTGAAAGAAAGAAATTTCAAACATTTACAGAAATCTTCTTACTGATATTTTTCGGCTTTATAATGTTACAGTGGCAGATTGAGGCTTTGACCCACAGGTTCGCGATGCAGCCATGAGCGCTCTAGACCAGTGTTTCCCAACCGGTGTTCCGCGGCACACTAGTGTGCCGCGAGACGTTGCCTGGTGTGCCGTGGGAGGGAGGCGGGCGAGTTGGGCGGCGAGAGGTGGGGCGGCAGCGGCAAGGATCCGCGTCGAGCCGGGGGCGGCTCCGCGGTGGTGGTGCCGAGGTTTCTCTCTCCATTCTCCCCTCACACACACACACAGGAAATAACACAGGATCAGCTGACAGGACCCGGCCAATGGGGCGGCGGCGGGGCAGCGCGCGCAAAAGGGAGGAGCACGAGACAGCGGACGAGGAGGAGGCCGGCATGTCCGGGCAGCAGCAGCAACAACAGCAGCAGCAACTCCCGGCGACGGCTCCTCAAGCCCCGGGCAACCCTACTCCCTCACCGGCCTCGGCCGCCCTCCTGCTCCACCCGCCGCCGCCTCCCCCGCCGCCGCCGGCCACCTCGGCCCCGCCGCCGCCCCCTCCTCCGCCCGCTATCGCCGCCACCACCACAACAGCCGCCGCCGCCTCAGCTGGGCCCATGCCTGTCGGGAGCGGCGGCGGCAGCAGCAGCGCCCCGGCGCCCTTCCCTCCCGGCGTGACGCTGCGCGCTGACGTCACGGGGCTGTAATGGTGGTGTGCCTCAAGATTTTTTTCATCAAACAAGTGTGCCTTTGCCCAAAAAAGGTTGGGAAACACTGCTCTAGACCACTCTTTCCCCGCTACTTGCCTTTCGGTGGTGTTTTTCGGGGGCGGGAGACCGGCGCTCTGCCAGACTTCTCAATGTTCCACAACATAGCGGAACTTAGCGGAGCTTGCCTTGGAGCTCTCCCCTCTTTCCCCTGCAGGTCTCAGACTGATCAGATCCACGCTCCCTTCCCGATCGGCAGGAAACCAGAAGAGCAGGTTTTTCATACAGTTCCTAAAAAACTTTAGTTCCCCCAAACCAGGGGTCTGCAACCCGCGGCTCCGGAGCCGCATGTGGCTCTTTTACACCTTTGCCGCGGCTCCGGGGCGGATACTAGCGAGGGGAGGAGGCGCATTGTGCGCCCCGACACTCCCCACTGTGGCGGGTGCTGTACTGGCTGTGACATCGCATGGGGCGGTGCGTGCGTTAGTCACGCACCATCCTGATGTCACCTTCCTGCCCACTGTCAGATCGGAGGGCAGCGGCGCGCATGCTTTAAATGTCGCAATGGTTTTGCGGCTCCCAGGTTTTTTTTCTTCGGAAACGGGTCCAAGTGGCTCTTTTTGTCTTAAAGGTTGCAGACCCCTGCCCCAAACCATTGCTGGCCACCTCATGCCTAACCCCTTGCCAGCTGGCTGCAAGTTTTTAAGGCTCAGGCAGCACATCTTTAACCCTCCAACCAGGGTTTCTTTGCAGCCGGAACACACCATAGCTCTGTTCTGGCACCTCTCAGTGGGTTCCATCGCCTTCCAGGTGGCCACTGTTACCATTCTGAGAGAAAGAGGGAGGTGTTCATGGTGAGTTCTGGAATCTCTCTTTTTTTTTGGAAAAATAGCACTGCCTTCAACATTCCTCTGATGAAAATAGGGACATCCTAAGGAAAAGCAGGATATTCCAGGATCAAATCAGAATCCAGGACAGCTTTTGTAAATCTGGGGCTTTCCCTGGAAAACAGGGACACTTGGAGGGCCTGAGATAGCCCATATGGAATTGCCCAGATGTTGTTAGCTACAGCCAACAGTCAGCAGAGATGGGGTGGTAGTCCTGTGCTGCCGGCCACGGCAGAGCTCAGTGGGGGGAGAGGCCAGCCAACCAGCCGAGTCTCAGGGGAGAGGTTGCCTGACAGCAGAGTCCATATACAGTGGGACCTCGGTTTAAGAACAGCCCTGTTTATGAACTATTTGGTATATGAACTCCGCAAAACCGGAAGTAGTGTTCCGGTTAGCAAACTTTACCTCAGTCTACAAACGGAAGCCGAACAGTGGAAGGGGCACCTGTGGTGGGAGGCCTCATTAGGGAAAGCACACCTCGGTTTAAGAACGGCTTTGGTTTAAGAACAGACTTCTGGAATGGATTAAGTTCATAAACCGAGGTACCACTGTACAAGGTCCAGTCCAGTCCTAAGTTCAGGAGTATCTCAGTTCACATAGTCAGACGATCCGGGGGTCAAGAAAGCCGAGGGTCCAACGTCACAAGAAGCATGAAGCAGCAAGAATCTGGTCAGGAATTATGAATGTTGTTTCAGCAACTCACTGAGACTGGAAACCCTGCTTAAGAAAGCTGGAGCCAGCTGGTTCTCATCAAGAGCAAGAAGGTTGATCAGCAGCAGGTACAGCCACTTCATCTTCTGCTCCTTCAGGCTGCTGCTCAGCAGGTGAAGCCAACTTCTAGCCCATGACAGATGGGAGTTGCATTCCAACAGAATCTGGAGGGCTCCAGGATGGCTGTTCCTGCTCCAAGGCTTTAATTCTGTGCATGTCTTCTTGGAAGCAAGCCCCACAAGGCTCACTGGGATTTACTCCCAGATAAGGGTGTTTAGGATTCTATTCCAAGTCTGTATTAGAATGGTGTGAGCCCCCCTCAATCTGATTTGGGGCCCAATCCAGCACATGAGAGTGGGGACCTGAAATGATCTGGAGCCAACCCAGCCAGTGGCCTTGTCCGGTGTTCCATAGGGACTTCACACCCACGCTGGCCCACCCATGAGGCAAGGGGAGGCAACCACCGCAGGTGGCAGGATCCACAGGGGCAGCAGATCTGGCCTCCAAGCATTGCATCACCACTGCTGCTGTTCCCGCTGTAGATCATCACTCACCCCTTCTTCCCTGGTGGGGAGAGGGCATCATTTCGTGGTTTGCCTCAGGTGTCCAAGTGTCTTGGGCCAGTTCAAATTTCTGTGGCCCAAATTTGCATCTCCATCTCCCCCCAAATCACTCTCTCTCTCATCACTTGCACAGGCATTTTTACTATTGAAGTTGTTTTAATAAATTGTGGCTTTGCTACATAGATTTTTTTTGGGGGGACACACGCTTTTGCTGTGGCAGAGTAATTTGTTCTGCATTAAGTCACTAGACAAGGCAGTATGGAAATATTTTAAACACATAAAACAGACCTCACTCTTTTAAAAAGTCCATGTCCACACACACAAACACACACCTATTTTTAGAAGGTAAAGGAAGCAGCAAATCAGGAGCAACTGTGTTCCTAAGCGACCATAAAGGTCAAAGGGGGAAACATTCCATTCATTCCATTTGACAGTTGGCCAGAGGAAAGGTTGCTGGTGGTACTGTTCAGTGGTCTCTGAAAGGACGGGATGTTTCTAAGCTCTCTGTTGTTTTTGTTTTTCTCAAGCAGATCTTCCGTTGTTTACACCTGCCACAGCTGAATCTCCCATCTGCACATTTGGACAAGATGTCTTCAAGCATCACATTTGTTAGATGAATTCTTACGTAAATACAGGTATGTCCTGTCCTGGGCACCTCTTCAGCAAAAGATTACAGCTCACGATTGTTATAATAATAATAATTCAGTCCATAGGAGCCACCTCCTAGGCACTGAGGTCCCTTCAGCCCCCCAAAGTTCATGGACATTGCCATTCATATGGTGTGGGTGTGCCATGTCATGGGATTGATTATGCGGGGTGGGGCTTACCTGCCCCCCCCCAAATATTTTATTCAGGTTGGCACCCCTGATTCAGTCCCTATACTTAAAAACTGGACATTTTAAAGGACATTTCAGATTACAAGTCAATGCTCAGTCAATGTTCAAGCTGGAAAGTGTGCAAAGGAGGGTGACTAAGGTGATAAAAGGGTCTGGAAGCCAAGCCTGATGAGAAGCAGTTGAGGGAGTTGGGTAGGTTTAGCCTGGAGAAGAGGATATGAAAGCCATCTTTAAATATCTGAAGGGCTGTCACATGGAAGATGGAGCAAACTCATTTTCTGCTGCTCCAGAGGGTGGGATCTGAACTAATAGATTCAGATTACAATAAAGGAGATTCCAACTAAACAGTCTGATTATAAGAGCTGTCCAACAGTGGAACAGGGTCCCATGGAAGGTGGTGGACTCTCCTTCCTTGCAGGTTTTCAACCAGAGGTTGGATGGCCACCTGTCATGAATGCCTTAGCTGAGATTCCTGAATTGAAGGGGGTTGGACTAGATGACCCTTGGAGTCTCTTCCAACTCGACAAAATGATGGTAAATGATGCTCAGTGCAAGCACTAGTGATGGGCAACTCACTTTCCCTTCAGTCTAGGTTGGAGTAGCTCAGAAATCCCCCTCGTCCCAAAAGAGGTTTGGTGTATTTTTGAGTCCAGTCTTCTTTTGGAAGTACATCTTAGGAAAGCTACATTACTCAGGTGCCTTTTTGTGCTATCAGTGCAGTATGATGAATGAAAGATGAATCAGCTGACAATTCTTCCTGGGCGCAGATTTGAATCCAAGCCAGAGAAGAATTTAGGAACACATGATAGGACTTGATCCCATATAAGTGTGTATATTAATATTATTTAACACTCCTAAAGCACCTTATTTTTTCTATGCACTCTACATATATTAAAAGACAAAGAAAAAGGAATGCAGAGGGAAGAATGCAACCCTGTGCATGCTTTCCTGGGAGTTAGTCCCATTGAATTGAGTGGGACTTACTTCTGAGTAAACAGGCTTGACTTTAGGCCTGAAATCCTACACCCACTACCCCAAGGGTATGTACAACTGACCTCCATGGGAAACACCAAGGAAACATGCATAATTTTGCTTTAAGATTGCAAAGAACTATGCACTTATTTGACAGTGAAGATCCAAGCTATGAATCTGTGTCCTAAAGTGCAAGGTTGTTGTTTTTGTTTCCACAAATTGTCAGCAGGAATAGTGGTGCTGATCCAGATTGGGACCCTGATGTGGAGGATGGGGTTTTTAAGTGTGTGTTTTTTAAAAAGGTTTATGTGTACTGTGTTCCCAAAATGGATCATGGGCAAGGGGGACACACTTGCAATTTGCATTTGGGGAATAGGTACTTTCATATCTCATCATTTCTGAATGTTTTTCCCAATCTACTTCAGCATATCTAAACAAAGGAACCTGAAATGGAGCCTAAAGAGGACAAAAAACCCAACGGGCAGCCCTCCGAGGAGAAGAAGGCTAATGGGCAGCCAGCAGAGGACAAGGCATCCAGTGCCAATTCTGCAGAAAAGCAGCAAGTGGATGGACAAGCAACCGAGGACAAACAAGCTGATGGAAATGCAGTAAGACAACCTCCTTATATTCCATGCATATTCCTTCCTTTAAATCAAAGTTATCCAAGATACTATTTTATAACATGTCAGCACACTTTCAGAAAACTACTTCTAAACTGCCAGGTCATTCTAGCACAAAGCTCTCTAGATGTTTGATATGAATTGCATTTCACTCCCTCGTGGAAGCCTTTCCTAAATTTCAGATCTGTGCATTCTTGCTCTCTGCTTACTGGGCCAGTTTGAACGGACCTCTCTGCCAAGTCAGGCTGCCTGTCACCCGGGCACATGGATCCTATCTCCAAGCTCACCACTGGAGAGCCCTGTGCAGATGTAATGGCAGGAATGCAATGTGGCTCTGAGATGGCTTCATCGCTGCAAGCATTTCTTTGAACTAAACAGAACCATCTCCCCTCTCCTACTCCCTCCCATGCACTGTTTTGGGGGTTCTCTTGACCCCCCAGAGCAGGCCTGGGGAGGACACATGGGACACATGGGAAGGGGGCAGGAGAGTTGCACCAGCAGCAGTCCTTGTGCTGGCTTCCACTAGCAGAACAATGTACCCCAGTAGGTTGTATCCGGCAAAGTGTTACTCAGAGTAGACCCATTGAAATCAATGTACCTGAATAATTTTTATTTAGTTTACATTCTTCCCAAAGGAGCCTACAGTGGCAATTTTGAAATTAGTCATGTTCATTGATTTCAAGGGGTCTGCTCGGAGTACAACTGACTTTGGAGACATCCCAATATTTCTGAAGGATTTGCACACATAACATTTAGTCAGCCTCCCCCCCCAACACACCACTAACGCCCTGCATATATTTTGAGTACAACCCCATTTATTTATTTTAACTATTAAATTCATATACTGCCCATCCAAAGATCACAGGGCAGATACCAACATAAAACAAAAATTAAAAACTGTTGTTGTTGGCATCCGTCTGTCTCGGGAGACAATGGAGGACTGCATTTTCAGAGCTAAAGTCAAACCAATGGAGAGTTACAGTGCCTGCTGTGGCTATAGAGGAGGAGACAGGTTTTGTTGCAGCTGGGGAAGAGGAAGGCTGCTGCAGATGCACCTTGGTACTTCTTCTCTCTGCACTCCTCCCAGCGCTCATTCCTCCTCTAGTCCCTGCTGTGGATACGCAGCCTGACCGATTGTCTCCAGGCACTGCGATTAAATCATAACAAAAAAGCAATTCCCCTCTCTGCAAACACATCTTAAAGGCTGTAGATGGTTTAATCAGCCATCAGCTCCAGCTGTTGTCTCAAAACATCTGGAGGGCACCAAGTTGAGGAAGGCTCGTCCTATCAACGCAATTTGTTTCCAAATTGTGTGTCATAGAATCATAGAATCATAGAGTTGGAAGAGACCACAAGGGCCATCGAGTCCAACCCCCTGCCAAGCAGGAAACACCATCAGAGCACTCCTGACATATGGTTGTCAAGCCTCTGCTTAAAGACCTCCAAAGAAGGAGACTCCACCACACTCCTTGGCAGCAAATTCCACTGTCAAACAGCTCTTACTGTCAGGAAGTTCTTCCTAATGTTTAGGTGGAATCTTCTTTCTTGTAGTTTGGATCCATTGCTCCGTGTCCACTTCTCTGGAGCAGCAGAAAACAACCTTTCTCCCTCCTCTATATGACATCCTTTTATATATTTGAACATGGCTGTCATGGCTATCATGAGCTTTGGATTTACATGCATTTGGTGCTGCATGCACAAAACCTTTCCATTGGTTTTCATCCACTGATCTGACCCCTTCTGGTCAGGGCAGTGACCGTCTTGCCCCATTGCCTTCTTGAGGTGGCTCAGAAGTGACAGTCCTCACTCAGCCCTGAAAACTGGGAAGATGCCCAGAACAATGCTCAAAAAAGCCTTCTGTGTGCAAGGGGGTCCAGCTTTAAACTGCAGTCCTATGCTCTCACTTGTCCATCAAACCTGACGGGGAATTACTTCTGAGTAGGCAGGGGTACGATTGCATTGTAAGGCTGCAGTCCTTTCTCAATGGGGCTTGCTTCTGATTAAACACATCTATAATTGCATTGCAAAAGAAGAGGGGGGGGGGTGATGTGTATTGCTAATTTGTAGTTTTGGCCACTGCTGCTTTCAAGGAAACGTTTATTTTGTATCATGGATATTTTTAGTTTTATTATTCTGAAGTGTATATATTTCCACTCTGGAACCTTCAGGTAAAGGGCAGATCATTAATCAACCCTTTTCAGGCTTACTCAGTCATAAGCCTTGCTTAACTTCACAAGACGTACTCCTAAGTAACTGCGGGAGGGGTGTGCTCGTTTGTTTTTTAACTGTTTTACCTATTTATTTATTTTCAATTGGATATATCAATATAGAGAACAAATGTTTAATACATTTTAAAATATGAATGTTTGCTTGGAATTGCATCTCATGGAGCTCAATGGAGTTGACTCTCATCTCGAATTTTGTTTTAATTTGCTTATTTATTATGTTTGTATCTGACCCTTTCTCCAAGGAGCTCCAGGTGGCCTACATGGTACCCCCTTCCCAATTTTACCTTCACAACCACAGGGCTGTGAGGTAGATTAAGCTGAGAGGCAGAGACCGACCCAAGCTCTCCAAGCTCTCCAAGCTCGTATCACAGGGGGTTGGAATTCGGTTTTATCCACCCCTTGTTATCCGTGCAATTCTATATCTGACCTATGTGGGGTGGTGAGTGTCAGGTGAGGACCTGGGAGAACCCCCCCCCCCCAGCTATGACCTTGGGCTGCTTCTCAGCCTAGCCTACCTCTCACAGGGCTGTTGTGGGGATTAAATGAGGAGGGGAGGACCATGGACTCCACCTGGAGCTCCATGGAGAAAAAAGGGGCAAGATAAATGCATTAAAATAAACCAACCAGCAATTTTTTTGGCCTGGCTTTCCAGATCCGTATGGTAGTGTAGCCTTTTTAGCTTCGGGTGAGAAGAGCTTTGCGCCCAGGACGGGGAAATGGGAGTCAACAGACACTCAAGGAATAGTTTCAGAGAAAAAGCTTTATTTCTACCATCCGGGCTGGTAGAAGGAGCAAGTGTGATAGATTCACAAAGCAAGCACGAGTTCACAGCCATTTGCACAGAGCATATATTCCCCTTCCAGTTCCCTCCCCTTTCTCCTCCTCCTCCGGAGTCCTGCCCCATGTTGAGTTTCCTGAGCATGAACAGAAAGCTCCTGTCTTGGGACTCTTTTGGACTCTTGGCGCCCTTCCCAGGAAAAGGGGACGAGAAGCCTTGCGTTCAGCGTGTCCAAGATATCTTTCTTTTCTCTTGCTCTATTGGCAGAGTTCCCGGAAAGAAAAGTTGCAAATTGAATGTACTTTTTGGCAAGGTCAGCTAGCCTGAGAAGCGAAAAGGCATTGTTCTATTCAGCTACCTTTGTTACAGGAGAGCGAAATGCTTCTAACTACTGAGAAAGTAATTTTGGAAAAAATCTTGAGGCTTGAGGCCTGATTTGAGGGGGGGGTGACTTCGGGCCTAGGTTGGGCACCTGTCCTCACCTCCTTCAGTAGGGGGGTGGGGTGACAGCTTTAGCAAGCGAGTGGGACGATTACATCTTCTGATGTAATTATGACACCAGGTGATTGACACCTGCCAGAGGTTGCAGGTCAACCACGTGAGCCTAGGTCCTAGCTTGCAAGCCGCTATGCCTTGGGCCATAACAGGAGACTAATACATTTCATAAATAAATGGTAAGAAATAAGCGGGGCCGTCTCCTGCCCGGAGCCCCGCCGGGGCAGGTTCCCTCTCCAGCCAGTCCCACGCGGGAGGCCCCGGGGCTTCAGCTCCTCCGAGAGGAATCACGGCTTGGTGGGATCGGAAGGGACCCCGCGGGGGGAGGCGGAAAGAGAATCGCAAGGCAGCTGTGCAAAACAGGGACTCGTTAGAGCAGCGCTGCCGCCGCCGCCGCCGCCGCCGTCCTCCTGGGCGGAGACTGCGCACTGGGGCGCCCAGAAGCGCCGCTCGCGAAGCAACGAGAAAGCGGCAGAATCCGGGAGGCGCTCGGCCGCCGGCTGCCATATAAGGCAAGAGGCGGGGCCTCATGCTCCGCCCTCCTCGCGCACGGCGCCGGCCAGATTGCGGCGGCCGTTGCTTAGCAACTCCGCGCGGCCGAGGCGCCATTTCCGTCCTCGTCTCCCCTCTGAATGGGCGCGGAAAGGAGGGGGCGGAGCCTCCGCCCTCCCGGCGCTCGCCGATTGGTCCCGCTAGGTTTGTCGAGGCTTTAGTCGTGACGTCGCGGCGGCGTCGTTCCAGAAAGTTCGCGGCGCCGGCGCCTATAAAAGGCTCTCGGTCGAGGCGACGCTCGCCGGGTCGGAGCGCGCGAGGGAGACGCGAGAGAAGCGCCGGCGACGCTGAGGTGCGGGCGCGGGATGAAAATGCGGGCGGAGGGCGGGCCGAGGCCGGCGCGGCTCCCGAGGAAGGCGCAGCAATGGGACTGGGGGTGGGCTGGATGATCCCTGGGGCGCCCTGCTCTGGCTCCCCTGGCGCCGGGTCGCTCCGGGGCTGCCGCGAAGGGGCTCGGCGGGGCCTCTCGCCCGCTGCCTCCTCAGGCGTCGCTCTGTGCTGGAAACGGAGAGGGCGAATGGAAACGGGTCAAGCGAGGCGTTTATTTGCGCTGTGGATGCCAATAGGCGCAAACACTGTTTTTCGTGGTGAAGAGTATTATAAAAATATAGATGAATGAAGAAACAAGAATTGCATCAAGTAGAGCTTGTTATTGGTACAATACGATAGTTTCTAATATGCATTTTGGAAATGTTGGGGGAACATAGTGTTTCCGCTGTGTTTTTGAGTGTTCAGAGGGTTTTCTATAAGTTGCCTTGTAGTAGTAGGTGGGTCCACGCTGTTAAGCTCGTGTGGCGGCACTGGGGTTAAAAGAGGACACCTGGAGCCGTCTTGGCATTGCCTTGCATTTACATCAGATATATATATATATATATATATATATATATATATATATATATATATATATGACAACCCAGTGAGGTAGGTCAGTACTAATGTGACAAATGGGGACTGAGGAAGAACGAACTGGTGGCTATAGGAATAGTCAAACTGGAGACCTTCAGTTTTTATCTCCCATCTCTAGGAGATGGAGAACAACCGTGGCCCATTTCTAATGTTCAAGAGTGCTTCATTTTTGTTACCATGTCATAATTTATTTTAGCTTACGGCCTTGCAGTTCTCTGTGCAAGCTAGGCCAGCATTGTCGTCCCCATTTGCGGGTTGAGTGAAGTGGCTGAAGCCAAGTGTCTCCTCTAAGGCCTTCTAGAAAACTCCAGGCTGAGACCTGAGACATGACCTGAAGAAGCTGCCTTGCAGCAAGTCAGCTCATGGGTCCATCTAGGGCAGCACATTGACTGGCATCAGTTTTCCAGGGTTTCAGACGGCAGTCTTTCCATAACACCAGCTGGAGATGCCCAGGGTTGGAGAATTAAGGACTCTGCAGGCAAAAACAAGTGCTCTGTCATTGAGCTAAAGGCCTCAGTGTCTTAGATACTAGAATACTCTTTAAAAAAGGAGAGCAGCAAACTGATTTTGTCATTTTTAAGTAGTTTCTGTGTCTAGTGGTGTGGGCCTTCTGTTGGATTTTTTCTGCTCTAAGTTGATGGGAATTTGTTTTTCCATAGTTATTTAACCTATAAACAAAACTTTAAAAATCTGTGCTGTGTTGCTATTATGTTCTCTTATCAATGTTTTGGGAGGGGGGGGAATTTCCAGTTCCCTCAAGTAGATGAAATGAAATAATGCATTAGATGAATTTGCCGAAATATTTTTAACGTGACTGAAAACAGCATGCAAAATGCATAGTCGCATATCAACAGCCAATAACCCTGTCAGTGGACTTCCCCTTCTCTGTTCCCCCACCATCCTCAAACCTGCTGCAGAGGTTCTCCCACCATCCTAAGCAGAGTTTGGGGGGGCTGCAGGGAGGAGGAGTGGAAGGGTGAATCCTGTTGTACCACAGGATATCTGTTCTGATAATTGAAGAAAGTAAGGACTGTCTGGGGCAATTTTTGTGCTTGTTTAATGTGTTCATTCAATTGCGTTCATTTTGGATTAATTTGTTAAAGTATACATTTACATAATACAGTAGTTCTGAAGAAAGCATGTTTTGTGTTTAGACAATGAAATGTATGTAGAAAATAATGAAGCATTTACTTTGTGTGCAAGGAAAGAGCATACCTCTTCTAAAATGGTTCTTGCCATTTGTATTTTTACAAGTTCTTCTGTCTTAAACCCCAGCTTAAAAAGGGAACATTTGATTAATTGGCAGTATCCAGTTCTGGTTTTTACCATATACAAAGCTTTCTTAGTGCCTTCAAACATATTTGATGACAACCTGCATTCCAGGATGGGAAATTCTTTAGCAAAATGAGGCAAATTTGATGAAGAAAAACCTGAGTGCTGTCTTCATTCCTTCTGTTTCTTTCATCCTCTCAGGCTGCTGCCATGGTGAAGGAAACGGGCTACTATGATACGCTGGGGGTGAAGCCAAGTGCCACCTCGGATGAGATCAAGCGGGCCTACCGCAAGTTAGCCCTGAAGTTCCATCCGGACAAGAATCCCAGCGAGGGCGAGCGGGTATGGACTTCGGTTGGAGAGGGTGAAGTGGGGGTCTTAGGGAGGCAACTGCAGGTGGGCCAGTTGAGACACCAGCTAGGAGGCACATGTTTTATTTTTTAGTTCATGAAGCAAGTGGCTGGTCTGTTGCAGAAGGAAGTAAACCACTATGCTTAGTTATTGTAGTGGGAATGACCAACATTTGACACTTAGTAGTCCTAAAACGAAGACAGGAGTGCCTGACGTGCTCTGGTCCATGGGGTCACAAAGAGTCGGGCACAACTAAACGACTAAACAACAGTCCTAAAACAGGTACTCTATGCACAGGAGTACAGTGGGTGTCCATACAGAGTATCCACACACACACACACACACACACACACACACACTGTATTCCGGAGATCCTTGCAATATAGATTACATTTTATCCATCAAAATGATTGGCATTTTGCTAGTAATTTCTTGGGTTCCATCTGAACCCAGGGTTGGGAAGTCTTGCAGGCAATAGAGCATTTTCCTCAGTGAGTAATGCTGTATATCTGTTTTATTTTCCGTGGCATACTGTGAACATGTCTTATGCTGATCGATATATTATATTATATTGATATTATTTCCTTTACAGCATTTATTTTGGCCTGGCTTTTTCTTATATTAACCACTGCAGGGGGGAAAATACTCTAAAATAGGTGGACGACTGCTTTTGCTGGGTATATATTTACTGAATAGTCTCTTGATGGATGTTCAGGAGTTTTCTTAATCACTTGTATGAAACTTAACTATTGTTGTCTGCTAGCCAGCTATTTAGAGGGTCTCTTTCTTTTCTTAGTTTAAACTCATATCCCAGGCTTATGAAGTTCTGTCAGACCCAAAGAAAAGAGACCTCTATGACCAGGGTGGGGAGCAAGCTATTAAAGAAGGAGGCCTAAGTGGCGGCAATTTCTCTTCACCCATGGACATCTTTGACATGTTCTTTGGTGGTGGAGCCAGAATGAATAGAGAAAGAAGAGGTATGCATGTGTGTTTTAAATACTGCATCAGTTAAATTCTAGTGTGCGAGACCAAAATGTAGAATGCTACTGTAGTATTGTGTCCAAAGCGTAAAATACTTACACTGGTACCTTGGTTCTTGAATGTAATCCGTTCCGGAAGTCTGTTCAACTTCCGAAACATTCGAAAACCAAGGCTTTGCTTCTGATTGGCGTGGGTGCCCTGAAAACAATAGCTGACAGCCGCATCTGATGTTCGGCTTCCGAAAAAGTGTTCAAAAACCAGAACACTTACTTCTGGGCTTTCGGCGTTTGGGACCTGAAATGTTTGAGTACCTAGGCGTTGGAGAACCAAGGTTCCACTGTAGTTCCCAATGGGAACTGCAACTGAAGGTTTCATTCATGAGGCAGCTCTCTTGGCCTTACTGTAAGGCAAAGCTACTATTATTAATGATTGACTTTTGTTGGCCCTGTTGCACCTGTTTTTTCCATTCTGGGAATATGGCAACAATATCTTACTTAGCATTACTGCAGAAATGGCAGTGTGGTTTATCTGAAGCACTGTAACTTGAGGTTATCTTTGGAAATGCTTAGATTCAGGTGATAGACCTCAGAACCAAATAATTTGGGGGGTGGGGTTGAACAAAAAAATGCAAAATTCAAACCAGGATAGTTTAATCAGTTCTTTGGTTTCATATCCAGGAAACATACTAATTTTGAGAGTTTCCCCTTGGGGTTTTTTTTTGGGGGGGGTTGTTCTGCACTTAGAATAGTGTTTAGAATTTGAGGGCTATAACTATTAATACAATGCATTTGAAAACTGGTTGGTTTAGGGATACATATTTCAGCACTGCCCAGTAGTGTCTAAACAAGGAAGTGGATAGAGGTAAGTTGTCCAGAGGACCAAGTTTATTCTGGTCAATAGCCTCTGCTCAACCTTCCCAAGTACAATTTTTTAAATTATATCTTGCCATGGTTGCTGGCAGCCCTGGCTGTTTTTTTTCAAGAAAATTGCCTTTGAGAGGGAGGAACTGCCATGGCCGCCTTCTTTGCCTAGGATGCATATATGATAAAGCCAGATGAGGGGAATTTCATCTTGGTTTTGTCCATGTGTGGCATTACAGATAAGTTAAAAAGAAAGAAAAAATTAAATAGCTGTATAGGAAGCTAACTTTACAAAATTCTGAAAAGCTAAGCCGTATTACAGAAACAGAGCTGTTGTGTCTTAGTAAAAGGTACACATTCCATTCTGGAGGAATGTTAGGCTTGCAGGGAGGTAGGATAAAAAGCTTAAAATGAACATTGGAAATGGGGATCTTGTGTTAAGCATCTGACCTTCATTTTCATTAAGGAAAGAACGTTGTCCATCAGTTGAGTATATCCCTTGAAGACTTGTACAATGGAGCCACAAGAAAGCTGGCGCTTCAGAAGAATGTAATTTGTGATAAGTGCAAAGGTAATGACTCAGTGAACTTGAATATAGAAGTTGGGCTGTGCCCAAAACGTGTTCTAAAGGCCACTCCTGTAACCTCAAGTGAAAATGCTGAACATTATATGCAGGGATATTTGAAGGCACCAGCTGCCTTGAATACATTAAAGTCAGACACAGAATCATTTTGTGGGTGTGATTACTCAGGAAGTACTTGCGGTGCTCACCAAACCATTCTTAAATCTAAAATCAAGAATGTGCCATTACGTTCTTTCAAATTCACAAACCTTTATTGACGTTTACACAAGATTCCAGTATGGTTCAGTACAATAAAACCACTCATCAGAAACCTGCATCTAACACTTGAGTTAACATTGTACAGTGGTACCTCGGGTTAAGTACCGAATTTTTCGCTCTATAGGACACACTTTCCCCCTCCAAAAATGAAGGGGAAATGTGTGTGCGTCCTATGGAGCGAATGCAGGGGGGAGGCAGGCAGGAAAAGCCCCCAAAAGCCGCACACAAGCTCCGCACGGCTCTTGCGGGCTTTTCCTCAGGAGGGACAAGGGACTGACGCGGCCAGTCACTCCCTTCTCCCTCCTTGTAGAAAAGCCCACAGGAGCCGCGCGCTCCTTAAAGGGTGCGCAGCTCCTGTGGGCTTTTGTGGGAGGTGGGGTATTGCCATAGCCGCGCACCACCTCACCAGCCGGGAGAGCGTGCGCGGGGCTAAAGAAGCCATAGCCCTGGGCTTCCCCGGCAGCCCCAAGAAGCTCGCGGAGCAACGGGAAGGCTGCGTGCCTTTCTGCTGCTCCCCAACCTGCTCTTTGGGGCTGGCGGTGGGCTTCCCCCCGCCAGCCCCAAAGAGCAGGTCGAAAGCAACCTGAAGCCTGGAGAGCGAGAGGGGTCGGTGAAGGCGGCTGAATGCACCTTGAACGACACCTTGTTTTAGGGGGGGGGGAATTCTCCTCCTCTCTGCGCAACGCCTCCTGCCGCTTCGCTGGAGGGGCGCTGGGCAGACAGGGGGAGATTTTTTTTCTTGTTCTCCCCCCTCTAAAACAAGGTGCGTCCTATGGTCGGGTGTGTCCTATAGAGCAAAAAATATGGTACTTAATTTGTTCCAGAGGTCTGTTCTTAACCCGAAACTGTTCTTAACCTGAAGCACCACTTTAGCTAATGGGGCCTCCTGCTACCGCTGCACCACCAGAGCACAATTTCTGTTCTCATCCTGAAGCAAAGTTCTTAACCTGAGGTACTATTTCTGGGTTAGTGGAGTCTGTAACCTGAAGCGTATGTAACCCAAGGTACCACTGTATAAGCATTCACGAGTCCTCATTGCATGGTGCAGAAACCTGGCTACTATCTCCATCTTATCCCCATCCTGAGTAAACATAAAGAAGGCTACATTAAATCCATGTGAATGCCACTCCCTACTAACAACCAACCGATTATGCGCAGCGGATTCTATTTGTCTGTGCACAGAGGCATAGTCTTTCTACAAGTGGTATTTTCTAGAATTTCCCTTTTCTTGACCTTAAAGGAGCATTTGACTCTATCTCTAGAAATCACTTTTGGGACAAACTTCTGAGGATGGGAATGGAGAAAAATATACTTTACCTAATTAGGAAGCTTGTATTCTTCTACAAGCTGCCAAGTTAAATTCACTCCCCAAGGGAACTTAAGATCCAAAATCTCAATCCACAAAGGGGTGAAACGGGAAACTTTCTGTTTCAGACGTATTTGCCTCTGAGGCAAACGGCTAATTTTCTTAACAGCAAACATTCTTTTTAATGACAAAACAAGAATGATTGCTATCAAAAAAATAAGTCCATAGTAAAAGTGGCCATGATCCTCTTTAAAAAGGTGTTCATCTCTGGTCGATGATACAGGTCAGTTGTGGATTGATAAGTGTATATCGCATAAATTGTGAACTGATGGGATTCCAACTGATCTCCACTTCTCAAGGCTATTGTCAAATATTTGGCAGTCTTATGAAAAGTCATGAGAAGTGAACAGATTGTTCTGTTCAAAGAGTGCACTGGAAACTGTTGAGCAGCCTAGCAATGTTTGCGGACTTAATCAAATACTTTCCTTGCTGTTGTCCAAACTGTACATAAATATGCTTAGACTTGTTCATTATTTTGAATAATTATGCCAGACCCAGGGAGACGCAGAGCTCAGAGGAAGTAATGTTTGGCACTGAATTCGTAGATAAGATGTAGTCAAAGCCCTGTTTGCTTGGTACGAGAGCTATACACGGATGTTGAGATTGGTAATGAGAGCTTGGTGAGTTGCTGTCTGTCATCAGGGAACTTTAGGAGTTACTGTGTGTGTGCTTATGTATTTCCTTCCAAGGCCTCGGTGGAAAGAAAGGTGCTGTGGAAAAGTGTCCTACATGCAAAGGAAGAGGAGTGCAGGTGCTTGTTCAGCAGATCGCACCTGGAATGGTGCAGCAAATCCAGACTGTTTGTCCAGACTGTAAAGGCCAAGGGGAACGAATAAATCCCAAAGACAGATGCACCACCTGCAATGGCAACAAGGTGGTTAGAGAGAAAAAAATAATAGAAATACACATTGACAAAGGTAAGGATTTCATCACACCCAACCTTCCCAGGCAGCTAGCTATCCAAATTGGCAGCTCACGAGAGAATATCTCTTTGCTCATACCCAAAGCCTGCACATGCCCATTGCTTCCTTTTTCAAGCACGACATTCATGGCAAGGCTTCACTGCCACAAGGCACTAAGGTATCCTAGTGATCTTTGAGGACTGGAATTTCATTGCTCAAGTAACTACATAGTGATGAAAGGAAGGCAGACACATAGGCATGCAATAATTTTTATCTTGCTGTTTGCCCCGTAGGGAACCCACAGCAGATTAAAATAAGTCATAAACAGTATCTCAAATATTAGATACAGGTAGGTAGCCGTGTTGGTCTGCCGTAGTTTAAACAAACAAACAAAAATCCTTCCAGTAGTACCTTAGAGAACAACTAAGTTTGTCATTGGTATGAACTTTCGTGTATCTGAAGATAGCTGAAGTGTGCATGAACACGAAAGCTCATACCACTCAGTGGATTTGTAACTGGCTGACTGACCGAACCCAAAGGGTGCTCATCAATGGTTCCTCTTCATCCTGGAGAAGAGTGACTAGTGGGGTGCCACAGGGTTCTGTCTTGGGCCCGGTCTTATTCAACATCTTTATCAACGACTTGGATGTTGGACTCAAGGGCATCCTGATCAAATTTGCAGATGACACCTGTCAGGGGTTCAGGGAGAGAGGCACAGATGAGGGAGGAGACTGAGAGCGAGGGGGAAGAATCCCGGAACGAGGAGGAGGAGGATGACAATGACTTGAGGGTTTCCATGAGTCTTTCAAGTGAATCGGAGGATTCCCAAAAGGGGGCGCCCCTGGTCAGGCCAAGGGGAGTCACAGGGGGGACTCGTCAGGAGCAGGGGAGCAGCAGGGGAACCCCGAGTGGGAGTTGGAGATCGGGGCCGGCTTCCCCGCCGGAACGGAGTGAAGAGGGTGGAGTTCCCAGTGTGACAGACGAAGCAGAGCAGGAAGCAGAGGGGGGAAGGAGATCGGGGCAAGACGTCCTGCCGGAAGGGGCGGAGAGTAGTACAGAGAGTAGTGTAACTGTCAAGAGGAAGGTCAGAGGTAGCGAACGCGCGCCAAGTTCAAATGTGGAGGCGCGCGGAAATGCGGAGAGCCCGGAGGAGGAGCCTGGTCCCAAAGCACGGAGGAGGGGGGAGCAGGCGTCTGGGGACTCAGCGTCAGGGGAATCAAGGAGGGGAGGAACCCAGGGGGGCAGAAAGACCCTGCGGAAAAGGAAGGACAGGAAGAGGTGGACCAGCACAAGCCTCTTAAACTGGTGTAGAGGCGGGACTGCTTCAGATGGGACTTCAGCGGTCTAAGCGTAACAGACGTGGGGCTGCGCGCCTCGGCTGTGGAACAAACAATGTACTTCAATAAAGACTTGTAAATAAAGTGGACTTGGCGTTGGTCTCTTGTGAGCTGGGACCTGAGGCGGTCCTGACAACACCAAACTGGGAGGGGTGGCTAACACCCCAGAGGACAGGATCACGCTTCAAAACGACCTTGACAGATTAGAGAACTGGGCCAAAACAAACAAGATGAACTTTAACAGGGAGAAATGTAAAGTATTGCACTTGGGCAAAAAAAATGAGAGGCACAAATACAAGATGGGGGACACCTGGCTTGAGAGCAGTACATGTGAAAAGGATCTAGGAGTCTTGGTTGACCACAAACTTGACATGAGCCAACAGTGTGACGCGGCAGCTAAAAAAGCCAATGCAATTCTGGGCTGCATCAATAGGAGTATAGCATCTAGATCAAGGGAAGTACCGTATTTTTCGCACCATAGGGCGCACCGGACCATAGGGCGCACCCAGTTTTTAGGGGGGGGGGAAATCAAGAAAAAAATCTTTCCCCCCCCCCCAGCCCCAAAGAGCAGCGTACAGGGTGCGCACAACCTCTCCCTGCCGGAGGGGTTGCGAGCAGCTATGGAGCAAGCCAAGTTATGGCTTCCCCTTTAGCCCCATGCAGCCTCTCCTTGCCGGGAGACGCTGCACAGGGCTAAAGAAGCCATAGCCCCATGCAGCCTCTCCTTGCGGAGGGGTTGCGCGCAGCTATGGAAGAAGGCAAGGCAGCGAGCGGGATGGATCCCGCTCGCTGTTTTGCCTTCCCCTTTAGCCCCGCGCAGCCTCTCCTTGCGGAGGGGTTGCGCGCGGCTATGGAAGAAGGCAAGGCAGCGAGCGGGATGCATCCCGCTCGCTGTTTTGCCTTCCCCTTTAGCCCCGCGCAGCCTCTACTTGCGGAGGGGTTGCGCGCGGCTATGGAAGAAGGCAAGGCAGCGAGCGGGATGGATCCCGCTCGCTGTTTTGCCTTCCCCTTTAGCCCCGCGCAGCCTCTCCTTGCGGAGGGGTTGCGCGCGGCTATGGAAGAAGGCAAGGCAGCCAACTCTATGATTCTATGATTATGATTCTATGACCAATGGCAAACTTAGTTGGTCTCTAAGGATTTTTTAAATTTTGTTTCAAATATTAGAGATACTTTCAAAATTGTCAGTTTTGGAATTTTGATCCTATACAGTATGTTTCAGTTGTTTCAGAAGGCAGTAGTAGAGTAGCATGGCACTAAGCGATGGATGGATTTCCCCTGTTCCTCCACATTTTGAAGCTTTGCTGTGCTTTGTTGCTTAAGTTACAACTTAACTAGGATAATTAATCCCAGTGTATATAGTTGGCTGCATTTTAGAGTTAATTTGCAGCACACCCTCTTCCTCACACACATTTATAAACACACTGCAGAGTAAGCAGTCTTCATGCAATCATACTTAACATAGCATTGTGATTGTGCTAGGATTGTAGTGGTTTTTATCAATACGTATGATTTGTTATAAGGGAAAAGAAGCAAAAGGACAAGGCTGTTGAAACCCTTGGTCAGAAACTTAAAAAGAAGCATTCCTAATGCATCAGTTTTACTTTGGAAATAAGGCCACATAATTTGGAACTTTTGGAAGTATTCCTAACTTGCCATAGGCTAGAAGTTACAGGATATCCATTAATCAGGTTGCTGGCACTGTTTTGACAAATCTGAATGTGATTTCTTTTATGTGTGTGTATGTGTTGCTTCATAGGTATGAAAGATGGTCAGAAAATAGTATTTCACGGAGAAGGTGACCAGGAACCTGATTTGGAACCTGGAGATGTCATCATTGTGCTAGATCAGAAAGACCACCCAGTGTTTCAGAGAAGAGGCAACGACTTAATTATGAAAATGAAAATTCAGCTCACGGAAGCCTTGTGTGGCTTCAAAAAGACAATTGATACCTTGGATGACAGAGTCCTTGTAATAACTTCCAAAGCAGGTAGGTGTTGCATCTACCTTGTTAAAGAAAAAAATGCTTAGCAAATGCTATTTAATTAGCAGCTTGCATGTTTCCATTAAGATACTGATTTTAATGAGTTTCTGCTGCAAACCAGTTTAGATCATCCACTGGAGCTGATGATTGGAGACAGAGGATGGACAAAAAGACGAGCTGGTTCCCATGAGATGTGATGCCCACAAACTTAGATGGCTTTAAAAGGGATTGTCTCTCAGAACCCATTGCAGGGAACAACAGTGGGAAAGGGCGATAGCTCCTCATGTTCTGCTTTTGTTTTTTTGTGGTTTTTTAAAATAATTTTTATTAAGTTTACATTTTACCATGATCACAATCCATTAAATAATCTCATCACCAAAAACATTTCTCAAACTGAGCTTCGACTTCCCCCCCATCCCACTCTCTGGCTTTCATAAATATTCAGTTACATCTTTGCATTTCTATAACCGCCTATTTACCTTCTTTCTATCTTAATAAAACTTACCTTATTTATTGTAAACCAGCTCCAAATATTAGCATTACAAAATATTTTAACTCAAACCTACAAACATTTTCAGATGTTTACAGTGTTCTTTCATATATTGTATAAATATACTCCATTTTCTGCTTTTGAGCTTTCCAAATATCTGATTGGCTGTGTGGAAGTAGAATGCTGAACCACGCTGAGCTTTTTAGCCCAAAGGGCCAAATTGTCTCCCCTACCCACCCATCTTGAGCAAAGTTGGACAGGAGAGCAGAGTCAATCACCTGTCAGGTACCTGATGTCACAATGACATCTTGCCCGTTTTTTTTGTTTTGTCCAGATTGTCAGAAGCCCTTTTCAAAACGTTCTCTACAGAGCTTTGAAAGGCTCAAAGCCTGCAACACACTTTGAGCTGAGACAGAACCTACCTAATTAGGCCAGTGGGCCTCAGGTTCCTCACCACCGAGATAGAGACCCTTGTCTGGTCCAGTAGGGTTTCATGTATCATTTTGCTGTTGGGAACCTCTCTGCAAGGAAAAAGGGGTTTCGGAAAGCTAACGAACTTAACTGTGTGTAATCGCTATTCAAACAGGTGAAGTGATAAAGCATGGAGATGTCAAATGCATCATAAATGAGGGAATGCCAATTTACAAGTCACCATTGGAAAAAGGTTCCCTAATAATTCAGTTCTTGGTAAGTAAGTTAGTTGCTTTTAAAGAGTTGTTTGAATCTATCTGCCTACAAGCTGGATGAAGTGCATTTCCAACTGAATGGGCAGTTGTAAAGTCAGCAACACGGGCTGTGCCCTGTAGGTGCCACACAAGCAGCAAAGCGTTCTTGAAACACACTGAACTGCAAGCTCATGAGGCACCTCAACTGTCCCTTCCTGCTTCAGGGTTTGTGCACATGAAGCAGTAGAAGATTTGTAAAAATGGGAGGGATGTGCCAAAATGTGTTGTTCCGAGGTGAGGCAGGGAGGTGCACAAAGGAATTCCCTCTCCAGCCATGTTATCTAAAAACTACTCATTGTTCAGTGTCAAATGAGCATCACCCTGTTTTCTTGTTTTAATGGCATCTGGGATCCTTTGAATAGCTTTTTAGCAAAGTTTTCACCTAGCTCTGCCACTTAATCTGCTCTTATTTGGGGATTGCTGGCTTGTTTTATATTGTAAGCTACCTTGAGAAAGCCAAGCTGTGTGTCATCTTGGTAGAAAGCAGCTGAGGGACAAAACGAGGGAGAGAGTGCTGGATTTTGTCTGACCCCTCCACACACCAGATTGCCTACCCTGCCATCTATGCAAGACAGTGGCAATAATTCCTGATGGTAGTTAACAAAATCAGCCTTAAGGCATTTGCTTGTGTTCAAGGAGCTGCTGTTCCAAATGCAGGATGTGAGCATAGCTCCACACTAGTTACATTAATGCTGCCTTTTTATTATAGGTTGCATTCCCAGAGCATCAGTGGCTTTCCAAGGAACAGCTACCCTTGTTAGAAGCTCTGCTTCCTCCAAGAGAAGAAGTAATGATTTCAGAAGACATGGATCAAGTTGATCTTGTTGAATTTGATCCAAGAGAGCGAGCCTTCCGTACTCATGGGGAAGCCTATGAGGAGGATGACGAAGGTCCTAGAACTGGTGTGCAGTGTCAGACATCTTGAACTGGAGGTGTAACTGGACTGCTAGTGACAGATTCAAAAATTGGCTTTTGAAGCCACTTGTCATGTTCAGCACAGAGATGCTGAGTATCATTTTTGTAACTATATATTTAAGCGTTCATGCAAAAAAAAAAAAAACCACACCAAAAAAATCCCTCTGTAGCAAGACTTGAGTATACTGCAACTTGGTTGAATAAGCACTTCCAGTTTCTCTAAAAATCCCTAATATAGAAATAATTTTCAGAACACTATTTACATAAAACAGCTATAGTTTCAGCTCAATGGGCTGTTCTCTAAACCTGATTGCTGTAAAACTGAATTATTGCTTCAAATAAAACAGGACCATTCTGTGTGGTGTGAGGACTCTTAACCAAGAGGGCAACTCTCTCACCCCATCCCTCTGGAATGGGAACTAAATGCTTTCTTGGCTTAGGGAGCTAGGACATACAATAGAAATTCACCAGCTAAAAGCTTAAGAACTTGCATGCAAGCAGCATCTTTTTCTGATTTTTTTTATGCTTGGGTGCCCCCTGCTGGAAAGAAACTCTTTGTATATTGCATATATTTGCAAATTGCAGGGCTCCCCTGAGCACATGCACAGCCTTTATTCTTAGTCACACCTGTGCCGTCCATGACAAGCACTGCCACCCCAAAAAACAGAAAAATGTCTAATAGGGGAAATGATACTCCAGTAGCCCAGTTGGCAAATTAAGTAATTTAAAGTAACAAATACATTTATAAACATAAATAGCAAAATTCATACAAACTTAGATATATATTGATTATTTGCATTTGACAAAATCTAAAGGTTTTCTTGACACCTTTTGAAAGTCCCACAGCTTTCAAAAGGAACCCAAATTTGATTTAGGTACATTTAAATTGGACAGTCATAAATATGGATTTCTTGATCATCACCAACTGATACAATTTTAGAACCATTTCCGTTGTATTGCACTCCCCAGACCTGTGAACAAACCAAAAATCTGTTAAGATTGATTGCATAGAGTTAGGCAATAGCTTATAACAGACATTAAAAAAATTATAATGATCACAAGTCCTTTTCTTTAAAGGTAATTTATATATGCTGTGTACCGCCCACTGCACAAGAGAAAACCAACCCAATGGGCCCTCAGATGTTGGGCTGCAACTCCACTGTGCCTGACTATGGCTGATAGGAGTCAAACAGTGACAATCGTAAAACTGAAACACAAGAAGCTGCCTCATATTGAGTAGCAGCAACTCAGTCTGAGGCAGAGCTTACCCATCACTTGCCCCTTGATGTGGAGATGCCACAAGCATTGGACCTGCATTCTTTGCATGCCAGGCATATACTGCCACCAAGCTATGGCCCCTCTGCCAGCAAAAGCACACTCATTCTGCTAAAAAGGCAGGCCAATGGGATTGTACTTTCAGTCTCTCACACCCCTGTTACCAGCACTTTGCACAGAGGCAAGCTGAGTGGTTCAAGCATCTTGAATTAAAATGCTAGTTTTATTTGGGGGGGGGTGGAAATCTTCCGTTTCAGGTGTTAAGAGAACTCAGTAGACAGCACTAATAGACAATTAATTGGACACACTTCACATTTATTTTATGGAACAAAATTTATATACTACTTTTGTAAGAAAACTCCACAAATATAGCAGGAAGTAACCCTTCAAATTTTGGAACGTCTCAAGACTAGTTCTATGCAGCATGAACTAAAGGTTTTAATGTAAGGAAAGTTCCCTAGGCTGCCACAACCGACAGCCACAAAGTTCTATATACCTGATCTTGATGATCAAAGAAGGTATGAGCACAGGTCTTGGAAGGTACATCCCACACTTTCACAGTTTTGTCTGATGAACTGGAAAAGAACAATGATCAACAATTTTGTTCCCTGTTAATACCAACCCACCAGAAATAGGAAATGGCCTCTGCTTCCTGAAATCATCACCATTTGTGCAGTCCACTGGTGTGAGCCTCCAACCCTGAGCTCGCCCTTCCCTCTTTGGGGAATTAAAAAATTGCAAGTCACATCTCTCACTTCATCTATCCTGAAGCCACGGTACTCACTATTTTGTCATGTTTATTTAGGATATTTCATTGAAAAGTTCCAGGCCTGGTGTACAAAAGTGTGACTAACACCTCCAACCCCAAAGAAAAGCAGAACAGAGCAAGCAAAAACAAAACCACCATCTGAATTGTCTGGGCAAAAAGGTCTTTCCCTGGTATTGAAAAAGGTGCCAGTGTTGGCACCAGACGTGTCCCTTGAGCGGACGCAGAAAAGGTCCTCTTTTAAGAGTGTAGCATACTAAAGAAGATTCTTGGAGCAGGGACTCTGCAGAAAATCTGAAGACTGGCATTAGAATTGTTTTTGTTTCCCTAAGTGTTTATTTGCCATGCATAATATTCAGTCCATGTGTTGTGCAAGACAGCACAAAGCAGATGCTGCCATGCTACATAAAGATAAAGGACCCCTGACAGTTAAGTCCAGTTGTGAATGACTCTGGGGTTGTGGCACTCATCTCGCTTTACTGGCCGAGGGAGCCGACATTTGTCCGCAGACAGTTTTTCCGGGTCATGGGGCCAGCATGACTAAGTCACTTCTGGTGAAACCACAGCAGTGCACAGAAACGCTGTTTACCTTCCCACTGGAGCAGTACAGTACCTATTTATCTACTTGCACTTTGACGTGCTTTCGAACTGCTAGGTTGGCAGGAGCAGGGACCGAGCAACGGGAGCTCGCCCTGTTGTGGGGATTTGAACTGCCGACCTTCCGATCGGCAAGCCCAAGGCTCAGTGGTTTACACCACAGCACCACAAAAACTAAGCAGATGAGTAAAGAGTAACTAACTGACCTTAGCAATACAAGATTAAAGACTGCAGTGCATTTAGTTTCCAACCGAGACCAAACTTGCAGAACTCACTGGCCTGACCCAACAAGGCAGCTGAAAGTTCAAGCATCCATGTTCCTTCACAATGCAGTTCACACATTCCACTCGCTGTACACTTGATGACCGGCAGCTATCCATTTACCAAACAACATGCAAGAAAGTGAGCCCACAGCTTGCAACTGTGTCTAATGCAGAATCTTGCTCAGTGGTGCGGCATCTGACTTCAGTCCCCAGCACTTGCAGTAAGGGCTGCCAGTCAGTGTAGGGAACCCTAAGCTAAGATAGATCAATGGTGTGAGTCAGCGTAAGGCAATTCCTTTGTCCTGCACAACCCCACAAGACAAGTGTGGCTCAATGCAGCTGTCAGAAAAATTCTGCACGGCTCATACCCCTGCAATAGATGCCCCTCATTTTGCCATGCTTGAAGATGACACCAACAGTTATCTTCTACTCACACAAACAAACCCAGGAGAACAAGGGCAAGAGCTTAGGCATGCTGCTAACACCTTGCTGTTTATGGGGAAAGCCACACACTGAAGTACATTGCAGCGGAGTAGAGCAAACCCACACTCAGTAGAGCAAGATCAGCAAGGTAAAGAAACGGAATGCCTCACACACGTTTCTCTGGGCAGCAGACCCCATTTGAGAATTTTTCCTTAGGAATTCTTTGTCATTTATCCCAATACACTCTTAATCAGATTTCTTTTAGCGTCAACACATATTTTTCCGTGTAGAAGATGTTTTTTTAGTGGGTCGTCTTAAACACGGATAGGGCAGAGGGGGGGTGGGCAATTGGTTGCAGGTGCGAGTAGGAGATTGTCAGTGGTGATTGGGTGGGTGATTGGTGGCTGCTGGCAATTGGGAGTGTTGGTCAGGCGGGGGAGCGATTGTTGGCAACCCCCCGCCCCAAAAAAGCTGAACAACTCTGGGCAACCCCCCCCCAAATACAGTATATTCATTTGTGAAAAACTCATCTTAAAAATATGGGAAGCAGTTGCATAGGTTGTATTCAACTAACTTTTACTCAATAGTAGACCTATGATTGTAATTAACTGGCCATGACTTAGGTCCATAATTTTTAAGGAGTCTATCTGAGTATAAGTTAGTTGAATACAATCCTACAGTTACTTGGCACCTTTTGAAAATAAGACTGCTAATTCTTAGTTCTGCCCAATTAAGAAAATCATGCACTCAGTTTTACAACTATGTGAATTTTACTCTATGAAGCTCCATTTATAAACAGGCCTTCCTCTCCACATCCCATCCACATAAATGAAGGGTGATGCTGTAATGTCATAGGTTCAGGGGGCAAGTTCAAATCCACACTGAGCCTTGAAGTTCACCAGATGACGAGGGACCAGAGTCTCTCTCAGCCTAGCCTGCTTTACAAGGGTGCTCTACTTACCTCTCTTATAATTCTGGGGATTCCTCTCATGTGTTACGTGTTTGTAGTCTTGCCCCTTATAAAATTAGTGATTTAAAAAGAATGGCTTGGGGGGAGGCAGAAGAGAGTAAACCCAGCATAGGCCTGCAGCAGGCAACCATTCCCTCTGCTGGGGGCCATATACAAGCAACAGGCGTGGAAAGGTCAAAGCCCAGTGTGGGTCACCACTTCTCTATCTCTGCACCACCTCCTTTCCCCTCCATTTCCCCCACATGAAATTAGGCTAAGTGCTGCTCAACAATGAACCCACCAGTGACATACTCCTTTCTAGAGTTCCATGAAGAAAGTGCAAGATGAACATGTAACGCATAACCCAACCAAATCAGGTCATGCCAACATTCTACATACCTAGAAACGAAATGGGTGTCGTCAGGACAAAACGCTACATTTAGCACCCAAGATGCGTGGCCGCTCAGGGTGCCTGCCAGGTTCGCATGCTGCCTGCAGAATTCAAAAACAGGCTCCAGTTTAGAAATACACCCTAACAACAGGCTCTTCAAAATAATATTCCAGGGAACTTCTGAGTTTCTTCATATGTTTATCAGAGGATTCTCAATGAAAAGTTGGAGCAATTGTGGACAAGTGTGACAAAACGGTTGCTTCTCATGAATCTTCCTTGCAATTCTCAGCTACCTGGGAGTGATGGGTCCGTTTTACCACATTCTTCATTCAAGGTCCAAGAGATTAGCATTCCGAAAGAATAAAACGTATGTGCTAGACTGCATCCCATATTTCCTGCCATGTGAAAGGGTTCACACTTCATGGAAACACAACCAACACCATCACTTAGCAGGATATGACTTATCCCTTAATTCAACCTTCCCCAACCTGGTGCCCTCCAGATGTCTGGCTCCAACCCCCATCATCTCTAACTAGTTGCCATGCAGCCTGGGGCTTATGGGAGATGGGGTTCAACAGCCGCTGGAGGGCAAGAGGCTGGGGAAGGCTGCCTTTATCAGTCACATTAATTACAACCTTCGTCTTCCAAAGGAAAAGGGCAAACAACATCAAAAGATGCTTCTTTGCAGAAGCCAAATGGATGAAGGTAAATATTTTTATGGTGGTCCAGGGGGAAAATGGGCTCGATGAACCAATAGCACCTGGTATAAAGGCAGCTTCCTAGGGGCTGATGGCCGGGTGGGAACAAAACAAATCCAAGGAAAAAGAGGTTTTTTGTAGCTATTAGACATGTCAACCAAATAGAACTTCCATATTACAAGAAAGAAGATTCCACCTAAACATTAGGAAGAACTTCCTGACAGTAAGAGCTGTTCGACAGTGGAATTTGCTGCCAAGGAGTGTGGTGGAGTCTCCTTCTTTGGAGGTCTTTAAGCAGAGGCTTGACAACCATATGTAAGGAGTGCTCTGATGGTGTTTCCGGACTCGATGGCCCTGGTGGTCTATTCCAACTCTATGATTCTATGATTCAGACATAGAAGACCGCTCTTGCAGGATACCCAAAGGCATCTGGGTGGCCACCAGTGTTTGAAACTAACTGGGCACCAGGCACCTCCTGTAACAGAGAATGGGCTGATTGTGAGGAATTTCTTATGTCTTGTCGCCATGTATTGCAACTAATTTAAATTGCTGGCGCTTCTAAGAGGCTGTTGCCTGTTGCTGGCTGCCGCTTGGATCTACTTGCACACGTGAATGCTAATGCCACCCTACATTAGAAAGACATGAGAAAGAAGAAGAAGAGAAGGAGTTTGGATTTGATATCCTGCTTTATCACTACCCCCAAGGAGTCTCAAATCAGCTCACATTCTCCTTTCCCTTCCTCCCCCACAACAAACACTCTGTGAGGTGAGTGGGGCTGAGAGACTTCAGAGAAGTGTGACTGGCCCAAGGTCATCCAGCAGCTGCAGCTGCAGGTGGAGGAGCGGAGACGCGAACCCGGTTCCCCAGATTACGAGACTACCGCTCTTAACCACTACACCACATTGGCTCTCTAGAGAGAAGGCGGCTGCCTGCTGCTGGTGTGTCTCTGCTGCTCAGCTGCATTTGAGTGTGTTTCTCCACCAGACACAGGAGGCTGAGAAAGAACAAGCAAGGGTGGGAGGGTGCCATAGGGGAGGCTTTTATTCAGGATTAAATCTGCACTTCAGAGAGCCTGTCTGAGTGCTGGGAGGGAAGGAGCCACCACTGTGGGAGGAGGGACGGAGGTTGAGATCTCTCTGACGGCAGAGGGAGGAAGAAGAGGTATGCATGTGTGTGCCATTTGGAGAAAAGGGTTGTTTCCATCCCTGATCTGGTGTTTGTCTTCTACTTGCAACAGAACTCCATGGGGCTTCTTCCAAAGTAAAACGTGCATGGGTTGCCTGTGCTTGAATGGCTGAAGCCGTGTGTGACTGTTAAGGCTGGAGTGAACATATGAAGGTAACGTCTCCTCCAGGGTCAGTGCTGCCTGGCCGGCTAGGGGTTGTGTATGTTTTAAAGTATACCATGTTCACTCTACTGCCTCCTGCAGTTTATCTTGCCCACTCACCACCCCACCATTTCTGCCTTTGGGGAGGAATCCCAGCTTTCTCATGACCTCTTCCTCCCCCCCGCCCCACCGGATCATTCTCCTTTTCATTGTCTGGATATTTCCCTCATTTCTTCCCTTCTGACCACCCTGACTCCTTCTAAAGGGACAGTGTTCTGTGTTTGAATCCTGTCTCTGCAGGCTCCATTCTGCTCTCCTCCTTCCTTCCTCCTTTATCTTAAAATGCAATGGCCCCTTTCCCCCCCTCATCTCCCCAACTCTTGTAAGATCCTTCCCATTTTCTTTCAAATCTAGGCCACCAAACCTACCCTATCATGGTGATGGCCTATTTCATTTTTCTTTCTTTCTGACTTTTCTGCACCCTAAATTTGGCCTGGCCAGCTTTGTAGGTGAAAATTTAACACAGCCTTTCTTTAGTGGAGGAAGCCATGGGAAGCATGCAGATTTCCTTGCCATTGCCATCACCATCTAACAATCTGAAGAATGGCCCGCTTCCATATCGATTCTATTGATACTTGTTTTATTTGGTAGTTTTTCTGATGATGTTCTGGCTCACTTATAATTGTTTGTCTCAATTGTAAACTAACTTGTGAATCCATTGGATTAAAAAGCTAGCAAGCAATACATGCACATGCACATGCATGCATTGGGCCTCTCTGCCATCAGTTGCGTAAGCTGTAATAAGTGGTGTTGTTGGTTAGAACAGAATCAGGAAATGGTAGTTACTCTGGATTTATTTGCCCAAAACACAAAGGTAAGGTCTGGGGTGCTCATTTTATTTTTGATGCTTTCTTTTTAGAATGGTTAATTGCTTCCATTGTTCAAAAGGCCACAAAAGACACCTGGAATAACCCAAAGGAATCAAAACAGCAGCAAAAAGGTGGGGAACCACCACTGTTAAATTTGATTCTGCTTGATGATATACACAATTCATTTTCAGCTTTGTAATCTGGGGGGGGGGTGGCTTGACTTTCCATTGTTGTGACCATAACCTAGGCTTAAGTTGCCATGTGATGCCTAGTTTGTATATCTGAGTTTCTAACTCTGTTGGCCACTGTAAGAAACTGGTAACACTAGATTAGGGTTGTCTTCTGGGGCTGTTTGCTCTTTTCTATGAAAGCCAAAGTTTGTCACTGACGTAAGTGATTCAGACAGCCTTCCTCATCCTGGTGCCTTCCAGATGTTGTTGGATTACAACTCCCACCGGTCCTGACCATTGGCCTTGCAGGCTAGCGCTGACATAGGAATTGGAGTCCAACAACCTCTGAAGGACATGCTATCAACATACATCCTGGCAAGTTTGGAAACTTCCTGTTGGTTTGGGAAACTGAGGAGCAGTTAAGAGGTGATACAAGGAGGTAGAAAGGTGTATAAGAGTCAAGGGAAAATTGATTTTTTTATCTCCAAAAGGTAAGATTTTACCATTACATTACCACTGAATCAGTTTTGAGAGACATTGCCATGCTCTGGACAGAGAAGGATTAGCACTTACACGTCATAAATCTTGATGTAGCCATCATCTGAAGCTGTGACAAGTAATTGGGAGTCTGGGGAGAATGTCAAGGAACGGATTGGCATAGCGTGCCCTGAAATATAAAAGAATCCCACTTTCATCCATGAAGGCCTGAAGATATCACATCTTGTACTGCCCCCACCCCTGCAACCCTGTTTGACCAGCTCCTTTCCTGAACTGTTTCTGGAAGCATGGGCAGGAGAAGCTCTGCTGGGAACCTGAAAACGAGGGAAGAAAGCAAAGCACAGCCTCTATATTTGGAGGCTTCAGACCACTTCCCAGAGATGGAGAGCAATCTGCTGCAAGCATTCCAAGCCTTACCTTCCAACGTGTGAAGAAGTTTTCCAGTCGCAATATCAAAGATATTGATAATTCCATCTATAGCTCCACTGGCAAGATATTTTCCATCCGGGCTCTGCAAATAACAGAGAATTTAGCATTTTTTAAAACATATTCTATTTAGAGAAATTTACAGACCACCTAATCAAAACAACAACTACTAAGTTGAAATAAAAAGTTTTTTGAAAGCATCTAGAACAGCATAGAAAAGATGCCTGCCTGTGTTAATGTTAGGAAGGTTGCTCCAAAGCATAGACTGGATGAGTCCAAACAGATGAGGAATGAACATTATGTGGCATTTTGTGAAAGTGCAAGTTCCACAGATCAAAGTGGTCAAGTACGTATGTAAGGGGTAAGGTGATCTTTCATGTAAACTGGTCTGAAGTTCTCAACAGCTTTATGTAATAAGAGTAAACCTTGAACTTGTCTGAGTAACAAACTGGCACCCAGTGCAAATCTTGAGCTATAATATGCTGCTCTCAACAACTGCAGTATCTGATACAACTGTGTATCTGAAGAAGTGTGCATGCACACGAAAGCTCATACCAAGAACTAACTTAGTTGGTCTTTAAGGTGCTACTGGAAGGAATTTTTTTTGTTTTGACTATGGCAGACCAACACGGCTACCCATCTGTATCAACAACTGCAGTATTCAAACCAATGGCAAGGACCCCCCGCCCCGAGTTCTTTGCAGTAATCCAACCTTGAAGTCACCAATGCCTTGAATACTGTGGTCACGTTATAAGAACATTACGTCAAAAGAGCACAGTTGCATCAGGCCACAGTCTAATCAAGTCCAGCATCTTGTTCTGACAATGGCCCATCAGGTGCCTATGGGAAGCCCGAGAGCAGCAGCACTCTGCCCAGCAACAGGGATTCAGACCAGAGGTTGTGGAACCCAGAAAAAGTCAGCTATACCTAAGCCTCGCCAACATCAGCCAATTTCTTTCTGGGACAAAGATGAGAAAGGCAGCCCTCTCTGCACGAAGATTAAATATGCCTGTGGGTATATCAAGCAGATCCAGTGATGGGAAAGGCTTCAAGCTGCAGGTTGACATTGCAGGTCTCTTACAAATCATCCTGCTTGGGGCTAGTTTGGCAGCATTAGGCAAGTCTGCAGAGCACTAGATGCTTTGCAGTACTGGCCCACACTCCACCAGAGGATATCAGTCTCACTTCAACAAGGCTCTGATTTTCCTGCAAGAAAACCCAGAGGTGGATCCCTAATCCCTAATTAGGTGCACCAATTGGTCCGGGGCATAAAATGTGCCAACTGCTGATTTCAGGCTATATCACAAGGGTGGTGAACCTTTTTGGCGGTATGGGCCAGATCCTTATCAAAATCAGCCTCACTGGGCTGCCCATACGCCAATCACATGTCATCAAAATGACATAATGTACAAAGTGCTGTTAAAAGGAAGCCCCCCCCCCCACTTCTGTTTCAGTTGGGGTTCCATGCAAAGCCCTTGAATCAGGAATTGGGGGAAACAGCCTTGGCCAACTTAGAGCCTTTGGTGGGCAACGACTGGCTGGCAAGACAAAGGCTCCCCACCAGAACATATTCTAGGATCAGCTGGTGGGGACACACCTATAAATCCCATGAAAAAACAAACACTGATTGCTGACAAGTACACAGTTATATTCTTGTCACATTCAATTTATCTGGGCCTGTGTTTTAATGTCTCTGGGCACCCATACAATTTTCCTACTGTGGGCCCCATATAGTGTGAAAGCATAGCATTTTATCTGGTTTAGATTTGCACACACAGCCTTGGGAAGAAGAAAACGGAGTAAGAGGTGCTGGATTTGAAAATCTTCTTAAGCAGCACTTATTGATCAGCATTTTGAAACCATGAATGACCTAGCACAGCAGAGGTCTGGGGCCTGGTCATCTCTCCCTTGGCACCACTTTTTAAATGCTAGCAAAACACAGGGCATTCAGGACAAATTAGTAAGTGGTGGAGATAGTAAAAGAGATTGCACCAAAGGCCAATTAACAGACAGGATTCTTACATATGCAATACTCAGGATGAATTTGCCTCTTGTATCCAAGGAATATTCTTTTTTTCCAGTCTCGACACCAAAAATGTTCACTTTCCCTATGTGGCTTCCTGTTGCAACATACTGGGAGTCAGGTGAAAAAGCGAGTGACCAGGCATCCACTGTGAGAGGAGAAGGAGGGAAAAGTTAATGCTCTAAACTCCAGATTAAATATCCAACACTGATTGAACTGTTCTTATAAGTGCACAGCAATGTTGATGTATGACTAGCTGTGCATGAAAGCAGATATTAGAAGGTGCATCCCATTGCGAGCCATTATCATCGTTCACATGCTATTGTGCTCAATATCCTGGTGATGATGTTGAAGATGATATCTGTGTAATGGTTTGAATCATTCAAAATGATTTATATTAATTACTTAACAACAACTTATTATTTATATAATAATATAAATAATATTATTATTTATACCCTGCCCATCTGGCTGGGTTTCTCCAGTCACTCTGGGCAGCTCCCAACTGAATATTAAAAATACAATACAGCATTAAACATTAAAAACTTCCTTAAACAGGGCTGCCTTCAGATGCCTTTTAAAAGTAAGATACAGTGGTACCTCCAGTTGCGGACAGGATGCGTTCCGGAGCTCCAGTTGGATCCTGAGGTTTTCACAACTGGAGGTGCCTGCTCTGTGCATGTGCACATGGCGAAACCTGGGAAAATACTTCCGGGTTTGCCACGTGTGTAACCCTAGGATTCGTATCCAGAGGTGCACGCAACTAGAGGTACCACTGTAGTTGCTCACTTTCTTGACATCTGACAGGAGGGCGTTCCACAGGGCCGGCACCACTACCAAGAAGGCCCTCTGCCTGGTTTCCTATAACCTCACTTCTTGCAAGGCAGGAACCACCAGAAGGTCCTGGGAGCTGGACCTCAGTGTCCGGGCAGAAGGAGACAGGGATACAGGACCAAGGCCATTTAGAGCTTTAAAGGTCAGCACCAACACTTTGAATTCTGCTCGGAAACGACTGGGAACCAATGTAGGTCTTTCAGGACCAGTGTTATGTGGTCTTGTTGGCCACTCCCAGTCACCAGTCTAGCTGCAGTCTAGCCGCATTCTGGATTAATTGCAGTTTCCGAGTCACCTTCAAAGATAGCCCCACGTAGAGCACATTTGTAGTAGTCCAAGCGGGAGATAACTAGAGCATGCACCACTCTGGCAAGACAGTCCACAGGCAGGTAGGGTCTCAGCCTGCGTACCAGATGGAGCTTATAATCCTTACAAACAATCCAATAAAGTGAGTCAGGATTAGTGATGCTAAATTCTTGAGAATAATCTTTTGGAGAATATTCTCGATAATATTCTTGATTAATGAGAATATTAGAGAATTTTCATTTAAAATAGAATATTCATTATAATTAAAGTTAAACCATTCTAAGGTGATGGCACCAGTAATGGTCATGTTAAGGTTTGGTATAAGGAAACTCAGTAGTTAAATCATATTTTATTCTTCCATTAGAACACGTATTGTATATGTTACAGGACTAGTCAAAAAATCCAATTGGCATGTTAAGGTTTGATACAAGTAAATTCAGTAATAGGCTATCTTGTGCTTCTAATAGCTCTAACACTTAATAACTGTTTTGGTGACTAAAACACAGCTTGATAAACAAAACTATATGCATACATATAAAAATGATAATATATTTCAGTATGTCAATCCCTGGTAAATGGCACCTTGTACCATTGAATAGCACTGCAAAAACCAGTTACTGGCACTAAATAAAAATATAGAAACACCAACTGTTTAAATCAAAGCCACCTCACATGCTGTTACACATAATTGTATAAGCCTAGGTACTTTTAAGTGTATAAAGCATTAAAGCTACTTTCTGTAAAAAAAATAACACTGTATGGCCAAGGGTACAGAATTGTTAAGAATAAGGTCACACCAAAATAGAAAAAAGGCTATTACATGTAGTTGAAATGCATGCGAATTAAAATGCACATCAGATTAAATGAATAGCATTTTTAAAACTAAAAAATAAATAAAAAATGCTCACATTTCAGAACTGCCAGTGGTGAATGACACAATGCCCAGTAATGTAACTGGATCAAAAAAAATCATTATTCATTACTTACACGGGCTTGACTATTTACTAGATTTTTTAAATGTGGGTTGTAAAACTGGTTCTTACATTCAAATTTATAATTTGAGGAGAATATTCTCCAGAGAATTTTCTAGCAGAGAATACAGTGGTACCTTGGGTTAAGTACTTAATTCATTCCGGAGGTCCGTTCTTAACCTGAACTTTAGCTAATGGGGCCTCCCGCTGCCGCCGCAGCATGATTTCTGTTCTCATCCTGAAGCAAAGTTCTTAACCCAAGGTAATATTTCTGGGTTAGCGGAGTCTGTAACCTGAAGCGTCTTTAACCTGAAGCGTCTGTAACCCGAGGTACCACTGTATTCTCATTCTCGATAATATAACTCTTACTTATATGGTTCTTAAATGTAAACTAGTCAGGATTACTATCCTCCATTCTGAAGATGGAGAAAAAGAAGCTGAGAAGAAGTGGCTTACCTGAAATTCAGCTAGTGAACTTCATCACAGTGACAAGGTTAAAACTGGGGGCCCTTACTGAATCATCACCAGCTCAGTCACCTTAGAACTGTCCCAATGAACAAACCATCTGAGCAAACATGCAGAGCTCTACTTCCTAATGGAACAAATTACTAACTAACTCCCCATTGACTTCTATGGGATCCACAGCCTGATCCTGTGTCAAGTTATTCAGAAGTCAGTCCTGAAGAGTTTAATGTGATGAACTACAGTCAGCATGCATATGATTGCAGTTAGTTGTGACTACATTTTTATGGAACATATGACCCTTAAGGTCTTCAACACCAAAATTATAGCTCAATTGCTCTATGGAATTCCAATCTGGCTGCTAGGGTTTACCCAGATGGTTGAACAAGTGCAGGCAGCTTTCCTTTTTAAGATTTTTGCTGTCCCACGCTGTGTACCCTATGCAGCCTTGTGTCTAGAGGGAGGTCAACACAAGGTAGAGACTGTTGCCTGGACGAGATTTCTTCTATGCTGGTTAAACATCTGCCTCACAACAGATAAAGATCCTCTCCTTAGTGAAGTGTTGCTAGATCCCTTTCTTTCCCCAGGGCTACAACAGTTTAACACAAAGGTACAGCAACTTGGGCTGTCAATGGAACTTCTGCGTTCAATGTCCCTGCCATCTGCCAAGGCTAGGTTGTGGGACAATGAAAGCCAGATCTAACAGTAGCAGCACAAAAAACATGCTCCCCTCTTTACTTTCTTGGGCACATGAAACTAACCACAACTATCTCAAATTTTTGTTTAACCCTCAAGAAAGAAGGGCATTTTCGCTGGCCAGGTTCAACTCAAACCCATCAAACCTCCTTTGGAGAAACGTTCTCGGGCAAGGCGGAGTGAGGTAGAATCTGCCCATGTGATGACCACCTGGTGGAAACTCTTACTTATATGGTTCTTAAATGTAAACTATATGCTGATCTCCACCAGCAATTCCTAGAGCAACTCTGCATCCCCAAATAGAAACCAGAGTCAGTGGTCATACACTTTCTACTATTGGGGAATGACCAGGAGCTCACCAAGTTAGTGGCCAAATATCTTTATCTGGTATTCTGTTGTTGAAACACATTGCAGACGACTGATCTCCCTGGAGACCTAGAGATGTGACAATAGTCTGCTCTGCCTCTCCTTTTTTTTGGGTAAATGTTTTGTGCCACGGGGGAAGTGGTAACTCTGTACTGTTATGTTATGGATGTTTGTATGTGATGCCAACAAAAGGTTTGATGATGTTATGTTCACCTTGTAATCCGCCACAAGGTCCTCTTTTATGAAAATAGCAAATACATACATAAAGCTTTAGTTAATGTTTTAAATTAAATATCAACAATAAATCAATAACCTATTAATTACCTTCCTCTCAAAGGGTTCAGAGCAATGTATAACTCTCATATAAATTTCATAACACAAATACTACAAACAGTATGCTAAAAATAAATATTAACTACTCATTAGAACACTTGCAGCCCTTGAACCGTATATTCTTAGTAGTCAGAGAACTTTTGAACTTTACCAGGTCCAGCATCTATTGACTTGATCTGTTTGCCAGTGTCTAAATCCCAAATACGAATGTGAGCATCTAAAGAACTTGACGCAGCAATGGTACCCGTGTGACTAATATCCACCGAAACTACACCCAGCTGATGACCTTCTAATGTCCACTTGAGATCCAGCTTCTCTCCGTTCCTTTGCAAAATAAAAGGAAACTAAAATTTAAAAACAATACATGTTTCTTCATATGGCACACCTATCACCACATTCTGAAATTCTGTTCTGCATATTTTTCCATTTCCATATTAATTTTGGTTTTCACAATCCATTGCCCCCCCCCCAAATTTCAGTCTTCCACATGGAGATGAAATAATTATGCACATAGAAGTCCCAAGAAAGTCAATGGGAAAGACCTTAGCTCAGTGGCAAGGATCCCACATTCAATCCCTGGCATTTGCAGGAAGGAAACACCCTTGTCTGAAACCCACTGTCAACACTTTCGAAACCACAAGTTACTAACAGCACAATGAAAACAATTTTTTGCAAGGCTTGCTTGGGTAAATCAAAGCACAGCTTAAAAATCAAATCTGAATTTGTGTTGAACTACAGCGTGTATACATACACAGGAAACCAAATTATATCAGAGCTAAAAGAAGAAGGATTAGACAAGTTCACAGAAGTTATATCAGCAGCAACTAGCTATGATGCCAAACAGACCAGCACATGTTTACATCATGCTCCTGGCTTCTCGAGAATTCAGTTTAACCAATTCTTTTTCTTTCTTTCTTTTTTGGAACTCACCATTTCCAGACTTTCACCATGTCATCCAAAGAGCCTGAGATGACTGTTTCTGAGCCATCGTTTCTATTCTTCCCCCAGGCCACTGACCAGATGGCGTCGTCATGTGCTGGGAAAGAAAATAACTGATTGAAAGATGAATGCAAGATGATTCCAAAAAGGAATGCAGTTTAACAGCTGTGGTTATCTTAAGTTTTACTGGATAACAGCAAGATGTCACAGATAGTATCAATTCTGCCCTAATATCCATTAGTCCACTCTGGACACAATTTTAGAAGTAGATATATTTCTCCTTTGTTTTACTCAGCTAGTGAGGTGGGGTAGGGGTGGATGGAGTAACAGAAAATCTGGCTCCATATCCAAAGTGTCTTTAAGTTAACATCTTACATTAAAAACCTGATAGTACCAAATTATCGAAGGCTTTTCACCAAAGCCAGACTAAACGTCTTTCCTTCTGCAGTGTTGGATGGCAGGTTGAGAGGAGTTCCCTACCAGGACAGACTTTGCTCGTGTGCTCAAGACATCAATTCCATAAAACATATTTTGTTGCACTGTGCAAAATATGAGCAAGCCAGGGCTGAACTGATATTACCCTTGCTGGTACCTTTCCTGGGAAAATCAGAGGCTTACTATATCAGGTTCCTATTGGAAGACTGGACAAACGCTAGAACATTAGCAGTGGCAAAGTTTTTATCGGTGGTTGCAAGAACCAATGATCCCTATATTCTGAACAAAATGCTTGTTTAACTTGGAGGTAGGCTGTATGAATTGTGTATTGCCTTGTAACGATTTGTTGAGTCTCTGGACTGTAATAAAGGTTGATGATGATATCCAAAGTGACTAGGTCTGACACACTATCATTGCTCTAGGAAACTGGTTCCATTGTCAAACTGCTCGTTCTCAAGAACGGTACAACCAAAATCTACTCTCCTGCAATTTAAGCCCATTAGATCTAATCATGTCCTCTTGAACAGCAGAGTTTAAGCCTTTGCCAGCTTTTATTTAGGAAGCAATTTGAAGAGTGTTAGGATGTCTCTCCCACCACCCCGTTTGTCTCTTCTCAAGACTGTACATAACTTCTCCAACCTAGAGACTACAAATCCCATCATCCTGACCAGTGACCATGCTGACTGGGACTGAAGGGAATTGGAGCCCAAGAACATGTGATGGGCCAAAGGTACCCTATCCCTATGGTATCAGAAATTATGACAGCTGGATACAAATTGGATTCATTTTTCACACTTTTCCCTTTTCTGATCCTTAATTTTGTATCTTCATATTTCAAATATACCAGAAATCACGACAACTAGAACATTTCTTTCATAAATTCTTTTTTTCTTTCTTTCTTTGAACAGTTAAGATGGAATTCATAACTTTTGTTAAAAGTCTATACCTTTCTCATACATTCAATTTGCCAGCTTTTGTTAATCAGGCACAAAGTAGGCTTATTTCCTCACCTTGTTCTTGCTTGAAGAGAATACTGTACTAGGGGAGAAAAAGGAATATCCCTGTTATAAAGTAATGAAATTTAAATCATAAAATTAAAAGCTGTGGCTCTGATACACTTACTTGCGTAGTCATTTCTTCATACAAACTGAGGACACACAGAATTGGTCTGGGGAAGGAAAAAGGGGTAGTCAAACCAAGGTAGAAACATTCCCAGTGAAGAAATAAATGTGCGTAAGATCAAGTTACAAGGAAAGCAATAAAATAATAAACAATGTAGAGAGCAAGAAAACAAGCTACATGTTCTAATTTCACCTCTGCCATAAATTCACTAGGTCATGATTTCCAAGTCCTAAAAGGTTGGTACTGTGATGTTTTTACTATAATGATCTGTATGTTCTCATATATCAGATAGAGAGATAGATAGCTTCAATTTTATTGTTTAATTGCTTTTTAATGGCTCTTCCCACCCACCCCTTTGTAAGCCGCCTGGAGTTCCTGTCATGGAAAAAAGGCGAGTCCAAAGAAATATAAAAATAGCAGCCGAGGGAGCCGCCGCCGAGGTCGCCCTCTCCCCGAGGTGGCGGAAGGGGAGGCCTTTCCCCTCGGCTTCCCATCCCAGCCAATGGCCCAAAGTTTGCCCCAAGGCGCCCGAGGCAGCAGCGCAAGGGCGGCCACATCCAGCGCCCCCCCGGACAAGAGGCCCACCCTGAGGGGGGGAGAGACCCCCTTCCTCGCTCTGCAGAGGGAGCCCCCGAGGGAGGCGAAAGGGATGTTGCTATGGAAACGCGGCCTAGTAAACCCCGCCCCCCTCCCTCGCCTTCCCCGCGCGACCCCCACGCAGTGCTCGCCTCTAATTCAGAGATCTTTGTCTCGACGGATATAGCGATAGTTCAACCCGTCTCCAAGGCTCCCCGCAGCACTTCCGGCGCCTCCTGGTGACGCAGACGATGACGCGCCGCTCGCCGCCAGGAGGTCGTGGAGGAGGGCGGGGAAGTCCTGGCAGGCCCCGAGAGGGGCTTCTCTGCCGCCACCTGGTGGGCAGGAGGCCGTTTGCCGGGCGGCGTCCTTTCCGCTTTCCGCTCGCTGCTGCCCCTTGTGGCTGCGGAGAGGGCGTCGGGCTGCTGGCGCTCCGGGGCGCGCGGGGGCTCCGTCCCACGCTGGGTCGCCAAACAGCTCTTGGCCGCGGGGGGGGGGGGCAGCGCGCTTCTCCAAACACAAAACGGAATATGGGGGCCTCACACGTCCCATATCCTTTTGCACTGACTTTGCTAAGACCATCAAACGTGGTTTTCACCCTCCTTTCGTTTCATTGCCTTCCTGGGAACTTCCAAAACTCCAACCATCAGCCACTCTTTTCCTTTCTTTTCTGCGCAACCGCTAAGCTGAAAAGGTTTGGGGGACAAGCGTCCTACTTTATTTCCAAACGCTGCATGTTCTGTAGCTTCACACACTTCTCGTGCATGCCCCCCACCCCTCCCAAAAATGAATGCTGGGAACTGTAGTTTGCCAAGGGTGGTGTTTCTGCAGCCCTCAAAGCTGCCGAGGGAACCTATGGTTCCCAGGATTCTTTGGAGAAAGTCACATGTTTCCCTCTCAGAGCTACAAATCCCAGCACCCTTAACCAAAGACAGTTCTCCAGGTTATTGGGGGTGGGGATCATATGGCTTAACTGTTGGGTGTGCATTAAATGTACAGTTGTGATGTGCCCTTGATGTCAGTTGCTGTGATTTCCTGAAGGCATAAGTATTGTCTTATTAACAAATCAATTCATATCTTATTTTTCTTAGGAGAAAGAAAGAGGGTGATGCTCCTAATACGGGACTGGCAATTCTCCCCACAAAATATATGAATGATAGCCAACTAAGTCGGGGAGGGGCAACCTGCTCCCCTCCCAATGCTGTTAGACCCCAACTCCTCTTGTCCCTAAGCAGTGGACATGCTGGCAGAGGTGGATGGACACTGGGCTCCAACAACATCGAGAGGGCCAGCGTTTTCCTGCCCCTAAATGAAGACATACTCTGAGTAAAACCATTTAAATCAAGGCACTGAAGAAGTGCATTTAATTTGGATATATGTTTCTGTGTGTACACTTGTGAACTTGCTAACCCTGGCACAGTTTAGCTCTTCCCTGGACGCTGCAAGTGGGAAGCCCAACAGAGTGCAGACTCAGTCACTGAGGACATCTGCAGAAGCTTCTTTGGTCATTTCCCAAATTGGTGAGGCTTCTTTGACAACATTAAAAAACTGAGCCTTTAGTGTCACTGGCCCAGTCCTGTGGAACTCTCTGCCACTAGAGATTCAGTAGGTGCTTTCTGTGCTAACTTTAAAATGCTTTCTGAAAACTTTTTTTATTCTGCCACACCCATGCAGAGAATTACAAATACATTGGTCAAGAAAATTGGATTCCAGGTGGAAAAATCAAAATTGGAAACAGAACTGTTAGATCCCAAAACTAAGACTTTGTCAAGGATGTATAACTTGCTGTTGAAATGGAATACTCAGGATGAAACGGTGAAATCTGCTATGATTAAATGGGCACAAGATGTTGGACATAACATTATGATGGCTGACTGGGAACAGTTATGGACCACAGGTATGAAGTTTACGGCATGTAATGCCTTAAGAGAGAATATTATGAAAATGATATACAGGTGGTACATGACACCAGTCAAGCTTGCAAAAATCTATCATTTGCCCGATAATAAATGTTGGAAATGTAAAGAAACTGAAGGTACATTCTTTCACCTTTGGTGGACGTGCCCAAGGATTAAGGCTTTCTGGGAGATGATATATAATGAAATGAAAAAGATATTTAAATATACCTTCCTGAAGAAACCAGAGGCCTTTCTCCTGGGCATGGTCGGCCAATTGGTGCCAAAGAAGGATAGAACTTTCTTTATGTATACTACAACAGCAGCAAGAATACTTATTGCAAAGTATTGGAAGACACAAGATCTACCCACTCTGGAAGAATGGCAGATGAAGGTGATGGACTATATGGAACTGGCGGAAATGACCGGCAGAATCCGAGACCAGGGAGAAGAGTCGGTGGAAAAAGATTGGAAGAAATTTAAAGACTATTTACAGAAATACTGCAAAATTAATGAATGTTAGAATGATGTTGGATTGAAGTTAAGTGGTTTTCTTTCTTTTTTTTCTTTTCTTTCCCAAATAAGTTTTTATTAATTTACATCAAAAAACAAACAAAAACATATTAGTTTCACATCAAAATTTTACAACATAATCACTTTCAAGACTTCCTCCAGCTTATCCGTAAATCATTCGTAGTTATAATTAAGATTACGCATTTCTTAATTTTATATTGACCTTATTTATATCTTTCTTTCTATTCCCTTTAGACAATATTTCTTAGTCTTTCACAGTGCTTCTTTGAATCCCATTAGCGTTATCTGTCCCTCACTTATATGTTCCAGGTAATCCACAAATTTCCCCCAGTCCTCGATGAACTTTTGGTCTCTTAAGTATCTAATCTTTCCTGTCAATTTATCCAGCTCCGCATAATCTATCAACTTCATTCTCCACTCATCCACAGTCGGTATTTCCTGCTGTTTCCATTTCTGGGCTAGTAACACCCTTGCTGCTGTTACTGCATATTGAAAAAAATTGCAATCTTTTCTTTTTATATCATTCCCTAATATCCCTAACAGAAAGACTTCTGGTTTCTTTGTAAACGTATATTTTAGAATCTTCTTTAATTCATTATATATTTTTTCCCAGAAGTCTTTCACTTTCTTTCAGCAGTAATGTTATAAAGATGTGTAAAAATGGATTGTTAACAGGTGATAATCTAAAGTTATAATATATTAAGATTAAAGATGAGGATAAAAACAAAGAGGGAAAGGATTTGCTGAACCAACTAATTGAACTGGATACAAAAAAGGGAGGTGTGAGGAGGTCTGGGGAACAAGCGAATGAAAGATAAGACACGGAAAGATTGAATTGTTTTTAACTGTTTTTACTTTGTATTTTTTCTTTTTCTTTTTTCTTTTTGTAACATTTTGAAAACTTTAATAAAAATCTTTTTTTTTAAAAAAAAAAAGAGAATTACAAATACATCCTTCCACAATAGTTAATTGATGTCTGCTTTTAACTGTTTGTAGGTTGTATTGTATGCTTTTATGTTTATCTTACTGTAAACCGCTTTGATATCTTTTTAAATGACTTCACCCTATGTGCACCCACTCTCACACACACTAACACACTTGCTGTCATCAGTCTTTCTTTGGTGTTTTGTTTTCCCCTATGGAAACTTTAGCCTTAAAAGAAGTTCATCATTGTGTTTTGGGATGTGCTGAGTGAGAGCGGAGGCCAGTTCCTACATCTTTTATGACTCAGTTCATCTTTCAGAGTTCCTGAGAAGCCAGGCTTAATTTCATCCCACCCAGAGGGCAGCGAGGTGCCAGGCAGGGGGAGGCAGCGTCTCAGGGCCAAACATATGCTCTGCACACAGAAAGCGCAATCCCTGCATCTCCCAGTAAGGCTGGGGATATCCTCTGTCTGAAACCTTCTGTGCTAAGAGCAATTCGGGATCACTGGATTGAGGGCCTCACTTAGGATGGGTTGCTTCCTCCTTGTGCAGTGGATCAGACCTGGAGGACATGAACTGGGAACAAGGAAGGGCATTTTGCAGGGCCTTGGCTCAAGCAAGCAGAGCTCAGCCCCTCGACTCCAGCATCCGGCTCTCGCAGTGGCCGACCACATCCTCTCCAAAGAACCTGTGTGAGGCTTGATAGGCCAAGGCTGAGCCTCTGAAGCGGGGGGGGGGGGGGAGTCCTGCGCTTGAGCAGGCCTGATATACCCCCAGGACAAGCTGCTGTAGAAGGCAAAGCCGTCGCCGTGTGGAAAAGCCCCAGAAGCATTTAGCTCCACTTTTCCAGGTCATTTCAACACATCCAAAGAAAGCCCAGCTAGGAATCAGGAGGCACTACCCTTGCGGTTCTGAAAGCAGGTACATTGGCTGCATCCACACCAGGCACCAAAAGCACTATGATGCCACTTTAAACAGTCAGGGCTTCCCCCAGAGAATTCTGGGAGCTGCAGTTTGTTAAAGATTCTGAACGTTCTTAAAGGTAAAGGGACCCCTGTCCATTAGGTCCAGTCGTGGCAGACTCGGGGGTTGCAGCGCTCATCTCGCTTTATTGGCCAAGGGGGCCGGTGTACAGCTTCCAGGTCATGTGGCCAGCATGACTAAGCCGCTTCTGGCGAACCAGAGCAGCACACGGAAACACCGTTTACCTTCCCGCCAGAGCGGTACCTATTTATCTACTTGCACTTTGACGTGCTTTCGAACTGCTAAGTTGGAAGGAGCAGGGACCGAGCAACGGGAGCTCACCCTGTTGTGGGGATTCAAACCGCCGGCCTTCTGATCGGCAAGTCCTAGGCTCTGTGGTTTAATCCACAGCGCCACCTGCATCCCTTCTTAGGAAGCCCCTATTCCCTCTCACAGAGCTGTTTAAGCATCAATCTCTCTTCCTAGGGAATGGCAGCTCTGTGAGAGGGAATAGGGGCTTCCTAAGAATGCTCCGCCCCTTCATGGATCACTGCCTTTCCGTGGCGAAGGGGCTTGAATAACTCAGAGAAGCTATGAGCTATGCCATGCAGGGCCACCCAAGATGGACATAGTGGAGAGTTTTGACCAAACGTGATCCACCTGGAGCAGGAACCGGCAAGCCACTCCAGTATCCCTGCCAAGAAAACTCCATGGACAAAGACAACAGGCATATGAAAGTTATGACGCTGGAAGACCAGATGGTTGGACAGTGTTCTCGAA